CTCTATATCTGTTAACAGTGATTATCTTCAGAAGTGGGATTATAGGGCAAAGGTGTTTTGCTTTCTGCTTTATTTGTTTTTGAGTAATAAGTACATTTACAAGTACGTATCACTTACATAATTTTTAAAAATGAAAGCCACTTTACAAATAAGAAAAATATCACCTTTGAGTCTCATTCTGTTATGGAAGGTGGAATTGTAAAAAGAAAAGCCTGCACATACAAGTAAATGAGTTTTGGGAGAGCTCATGGGCATCAGTATCTCAGCCACACTGGCCAGTGCCTCAGTTTCCCACTGTTAGAACAGATAACCGCCACATGGAGAATACAGCACAGGGGAATGGGCCTGTGCCAGCACTCAGAGGCCAGGGCTGCTGTCCTGTTCACTATGGGCCTGGCAGAGAAAGTGAACAAGAAGAGAACTTTTCCTTACACCAACCTGAGGACTGAGGTCACACCTGGAGGGGGTGACAGAAGCCACAAATAAGAATGAACTCGGCTGGAAGTGGGAGTGACTCCCCATGTAGGAGACCTGGGGAGCAATTAAATATCAACAGCAGTGGGCACTGAGCTTACAATACAAAACTGCTCTCCAGAAATAACAGGGTAAACACTGCTCCCTGCTCCCGTGGTACCACGAGGTCACAGAGATGACTACAGTGCTGTCCATCTGGCTTTGGACACTGTTATCTCCTGCATTCCCAGGGCCTTCTGTGTGACCTGGGCAAGAGAACTGTGACTATTGCCTCTCTCCAATCTGTGTGTACCCCAGCGACACAGGGAATAGGAAAAAAATATACAAGGCAGTGTTTCCCCAACTGTACTGTAAATAATGCAGATATTTAGGGGTGGGAGAGACAATATAAATATTTTATAGACTGTAGGCTAAATAATGTATATATTTAGAAAAGCAGCTTAAATATTTCATATGCTGCAGTGCAGATTCCTGCTTAGAGGCATAATTTGGGTGGATGAGGTCTGTGGGTTAAGGATGGGGTCCTGCAGAGCCCCAGGGTGAGGGGGCAGAGGGGATGCAGTAAAAGTGTTTGCATGAGATTGGAGTGTGGTAAGGACAGGCAGGTATCACTTACTTGGAATCCAAGTAGTTGGAAGTGTCATTTTTTTTTAAAACTATATTTTTAAAATCCTGTGCTGTTTGGTTTTTAATGTGGGAGACAGACAAGTGACAACCTAATAACAAGAATTTATTTTCAAAAAGTAACTTCCAACCCAAGAGAAATGAAAATGTGTCCACATAAAAGCTTACTCATGAACGTTCATAGCAGCGTTGTTCACAGTAGCCAAAGAGTGGAAACTACCCAACTGTCTTATCAGCTGATGCATGGATATACAAAATGTCGTATATCCATCCCAGGACTATAATTTGGCCATAAAAAATAGTAAAATATTGATACATGTTACAGCATGGATGCACTTTGGAAATATTGTGCTAAGTGAAAAAAGTCAGGCATGAAAGGCCACAAACTGTCTGATTCCATTTATGTGAAATGTTCAGCACAGGGAGATCTAGACAGGTAGTAGATTAGTGGGTGCCACAGGCTTTGCGGGGGGGTGGGGAATGGGAAGTGACTACTAATGGGCCTGTGGTTCCTTTTTGGGGTGTTGAGATATTCTGAAATTAGATAGTGGTGGTGATGGTATTCAGCTTTGTGAATACATTAAAAACCAATAAAAAGGGCTGGGCGCAGTGGCTCACGCCTGTAATCCCAGCACTTTGGGAGGCTGAGGCAGGTGGATCACGAGGTCAAGAGATCAAGACCACCCTGGCCAACATAGTGAAACCCTGTCTCTACTAAAAAAATACAAAAATTAGCTGGGCGTGGTGGCACATGCCTGTAGTCCCAGCTACTTGGGAGGCTGAGGCAGGAGAATTGCTTGAACCTGGGAGGTGGAGGTTGCAGTGGGCCGAGATCGCACCACTGCACTCCAGCCTGGCACCTGGTGACAGAGCAAGACTCTGTCTCAAAAACCAATAAAAGGGCCAGGCACAGGGGCTTATGCTTTGGGAGGTTGAGGCAGAAGGATCACTTGAGCCCAGGAGCTTGAGACTGCAATGAGCTTTGATGGCACCACTGTACTCTGGGCTGGGCAACACAGCAAGACCCTGCCCGTTAAAAACCCCCCACAACAACAGCAACAAAACATTAAATGGGTGGAATTTTATGGTACGTGAATTATATTTCAAAATAAAATACAACTTTCTGGTATGTTGTTGGTTCTTACAGACTTAACCCGATCTCCTATATCTGCAGCATCACAGGACTGTCTAGCTAACACTTTGCATCATAGAAACCATTCAGATGATGCAGGAGACTGTGGCACCTTTGGAATCATCTATTCACAGAAGGCAGCAGGGAGTAGGGGTGGCTCTGGGATGCCTCCTTGCCCTCCCCATTCCTCCATTTTCAGAAACAGGAAGGAAGGATCAGGCCAGGACTCTGATCTGTTGAAGGAGTGAGTCTGACATCTACAAGGTCAGGAGGAGACGAGGTAGTTGCCTTCTGTGTAGATTTCTTTTTTTTTTTTTTTTTTTTTTTTTGAGATGGAGTTTTGCTTTTGTTACCTAGGCTGGAGTGCAGTGGCGCGATCTTGGCTCACTGCAACCTCTGCCTCCTGGGTTGAAGCAATTCTCCTGCCTCAGCCTCCCGAGTAGCTGGGACTACAGGCGCGTGCCACCATGCCCAGCTAATTTTTGTATTTGATGGGGTAATTTGATGGGGTTTTACCATGTTGGCCAGGCTGGTCTTGAACTCCTGACTTCAGGTGATCCACCCATCTCAGCCTCCCAAAATGTTGGGATTACCGGCATGAGCCACCACACCCAGTCCCATTTTTCTTTTAATCATAAATGGGGCTGTGATACTCAGTGCATGCTGTTTTGTAATCTGTGATTTGCCTACCAACAGACCTACATCTTGATGATCTTTTTTTTTTGAGATGGAGTCTCACTCTTGTTACCCAGGCTGGAGTGCAATGGTTTAATCTTGGCTTACTGCAACCTCTGCCTCCTAGGTTCAAGCGATTCTCCTGCCTCAGCCTCCCAAATAGCTGGGATTACAGGCATGCGCCACCACACCCAGCTAATTTTTTGTATTTTTAGTAGAGACAGGGTTCCACCATGTTGGCCAGGCTGGTCTTGAACTTCCGACCTCAGGTGATTTGCCTGCCTTGACCTCCCAAAGTGCTGGGATTACAGGCGTGAGCCACCGTGCCCAGCCTTGATGATCATTTTAATGGTTTCCCAGTGTTCTCCCTACACCCATTTATTTTTTTCCCCATAAGCCCTGATGTTCCTTACTTGTGCACCAGAGACCAGACCCTATATCCAGAGGACCTTCCAGGGGCTGCAGGCAGGAGAAGTGGCTAACAGAGATGCAGCTCATTACCACCTCTCACCTATTGCTGCTTCTGTCAACAAGATAAACTGAGTCTGCCAAGCAGTTTTGCAGTAGCTGTTTACTTGGCCATTCCAGGCAAGCTTGAGATGCTGGGAACTTATCCAGTCCTCACACTCAATCTTCTTAGAAATTGTTCCTGTTTTGGTTTTCTCTAGGCTTGCAAGTGGCCACTCGCCCTGAGCTGGATTTGGGCAGGTAATTTATTTCCAATACTAATTTAACGAATGGCACTGCCCTAGGGCTAGGAAGACCAAGGAAACTGTAGGCATTAATCCATTTGCCACGTTAAAACCAGAGTTAAGTAACCAGTTAAGCATCTCCATACATTAAGTATCCCAGGCCCAACTAGGGAAGATTTCCTGGAGCTGATGAGCCCCAAGCAGGCATTAGGACAAAGGTATTTTTTAAAAAATTTCTTCTCGAACCTTAGGAGAAGGTAGCTAACAGAGGGATTGCAGGTTTGGGTCAGAAGCAATATTCCCTGCCCCCACTAGAAAAAGATCCATTACAGATTGGAAATGACTTTGTCTGTTAAGTGTGCATTGTCAGATGGGTTGCACATTCCCCTCAACCAAACAAATATAAAATGCTTCCAGCCTCTGCCTCGGATTTTCTATTACTGTTTCACAGGACTCCAGAGAGTTTTAAGATAGCAATTTGATTAAGCTTATGGGGAAGATCGCATCAGATAACATTCTTTTTCTGCAGGTAGAGATAATGTGTTCAAGTATTAAGTATGTTTTAAAGGTAATTATCTTTTCCATATTCATTTTAGTTACAGGAATTGACAAGAGGGAGACTCTGCATGTGAAAGCTGCCCCTTGGGTCCTAGAGTCGCTCTGACTGCTCTCCTCTGGGGAACACACTTGAGACTTTTGACAAATGAATGAGAACCAAGGGTTTTTCTATTTTGAAATGGCTTGGGATTCCTTGTCTCCAGAGAAGCGGTCCAGAGGCCAAGGTCTTGGCCGCTGACCTCATATGGCTCCCTAGCTTAGATTCCTTGTTCTGGGATACCCACTGGGCTCCACATCTTAAGCTCCTGGATGTCAAGAGGGGGCCTGGCCGCTACTTAGAAAGAGGACTTGACTCATCCAGTACCGAGTCATGGTGCCACATCGCCCACCTTTCAAAAGTAGGGGCTGGAATTACGATTCACATATACTGAGCCCAGTGTCAGGGTGTTTTCACATTGGGAGAAACTAATTAGGGGTCCTAGAATTCTAAAATCTGTAGACTCCTAGACTGCAGATCTGTTGCGAGGGGCTTTAGGGAGCATGATGCTGAGCTTCAGAGGGGTTCTGTGATTTTCCTGGGATCATACAGCAGGCTAGAGAGATGCACTGTGGGCTAGAACCCAGGAATCCCTGGTCATAGACAACACTTCTTCTGTCCCTGTATCCACAACTCCATGCCATCTCCAGAACAGCTCCTCTTTCCTTTTCCCGGAAGTCTCCAGAGTAGGAGATTCTGCCCCAGGCAGCCTTCATTGGCCAACTGTGAGTCAGGATCTGCACTAGGGCTCTGTACGAGCCTGAGGATCCCTCGTAGCAAGCCTGTTGCTGATGGCCTGGAGTTCCTCTAACCTCACTTTGTCTACCAGCTGTGCTGTTCTGAGTACTCTGTACATTTTTACAAAATAGAAAAATCAGGGCCCAACCCTGCTTTCGGAAAGCTAACTATTGCTAGGGAGGAAAACATACATATCTAAGAAGATAAGTAACAAAACAAGGCAACTGGATGTGATACACGTGCGCGAGGAATTGAAGAGTGATGTTTTTGGTGTCCCCCTCCGTTTGTCTGCCTGAAATCCTCTCTGCTGTGGCCAGACACCTATGGCTGCTGCACATAGCATTTCCCCCATGTTACTTCTCTGCCTGATCTCTCAGGAGCCCTTGATTTGATGGCTGCAGCTTGTTGGCTGAAGGCAAGTGACACTGGGAGTGGACCCTACTGAGAGGTTTGTCACATGAGACCCCACGATGGTGGCATGCCCTGTTGTCTTTGAATGACTGCCTCATTCCTATCAGACAAAGGTGGTAGTGGAGGGGTGAATGCAGAGTTGATGGCTGCAGCCCAAGGTTTGGGTACCTGGCCTATCACATCCTAGGTGAGGATGGCTTTGGCATCTAACACCCATACCTGCTCTTGCCTCTCTGTCTCTTATCCTTCAAAAGATCCTCATTGTCTTACCCTAGCTACACAGTGAAATCATTTAGAGGAACTTTATGAAAACAATGTATTACTAGCAAGCAAAGGCTCCAACCTCAACCCAGATGAATCAGAATCTCTCGCATGGGGCTCAAACATGCGTGTATTTTCAGGCTCCCCAGGAGATTCCTATGTATAACCAGGGTTTAGAATTTCCAGATGGGATAAGATTAGACTCTACTGCATGGCCCAGAAGGTTCCTCACAATCAGAGTCACAGGCCTCATCTTCTGCCATATCCTATGATATGTGTACACTGAACCACTTAGAATTTCCCAGACTCTTCTGGCTGTTTTTCTCTTCTGTGCATTTTCTGCTAACCCCCACACTCTCATGTATCTTACCTGCCTGTTTGTTTTTGTTTGTTTGTTTGTTTTGAGGTGGAGTTTTGCTCTGTTGCCCAGGCTGGGGTGTGATGGCGAGATCTCAGCTCATTGCAGCCTCTACCTCCCGGGTTCAAGTGATTCTTCTGCCTCAGCCTCCTGAGTAGCTGCCATTACAGGCATGTGCCACCACACCTGGCTAATTTTTGTATTTTTAGTAGATACAGGAGTTCACTGTATTGACCAGGCTGGCCTTGAACTCCTGACTTCAGGTGATCCTCCAGCCTTGGCTCTCAGTGTTGGGATTACATGCATGCACCACCATGCCCAGCTAATTTTTGTATTTTTAGTAGAGATAGGATTTCACTATGTTGGCCAGGCTTGTCTCAAATTCCTGACCTCAGGTGATCCTCCCACTTTGGCCTCCCAAAGTGGTGGGTTTTCAGGCGTGAGCCACCACACCCAGCTTGGCCTGCCTGATATTAATAGAGTCTTCTCAGTTCATTTGTGTCCTCTATGATACCCTTTTCAAAGTTGACCCTCCTTCCAGTCTTCAGCACCATAGACGTATACCACTTGTAGCCCTTAGCTGTTTTGCCACTCCATGAGTTAGGGTGAAGACTGATGTAACTTGCGGCCTTAGGCCTCACTACTGCGTTAGTTCAAGTAGTGATTCAGTAAACATTTATTGCATGGTTAATTAAAAACAGAAAAGGGAGCTTCCTGATTAGAAGCAGGAATGAAGAATCTGTTCTTGTCTGGTTTCAGATTTTTGCTCTTTATTTGCCAGCTGAAGGGCCTTGGATGAGTAACTCAACCTTTGCAAGTCTCAGATTCCTTATCTGAAAAATTAGGACACCATACCTGCCCTTTATACCTCATTGAGGAAAGTGAGGACCAAAATGGTCTTAGAATGGGATAGGGTCTTTGCAAGCAGTAAATCATGATTCAGATGTAAGGCGATGTCACTGCAATGTTTCCTCTTGCTGTGGCTTCATGTCACGGGCTCTGGCTTCTGGGTGCCCTGCAATGCAATGCCAGTGCACCCCAGTCTGTGCCCTCTGCATAGCCTCCCATCCCAGCTCTTTTGGGCCCTTGTCTTTCTTGGCTTCTTTTATCTTGCACCTGCCTTACTCTCTCCCTGCACGGTACCACCACGAATGCAGTACAAAAGCAAGTTATCACTATTGTTTTGAATGATCGAGAAAATAATGAGGGAAACAGACTCGTCCATTCACTGATTAAATATTCAGTAATTAAGTGTTCAGTGTTAGGCGATGGGCAGAAGTGAGAAAGAGAGGTATCTAAGGGTTTCTTATTCAGTGTCATCCAAAGGGGCCAATGAGACAGATTCCACAGGTTAAACCATCCCAGATCCATAACCTCTAGACTGTAGAAAGTCTCAGAAGGAAGAGATTCCCCAAACTGTAATTCCTTTGCAAATCTCATTCATTCAGTGGGATTTGAGAACCAACCACTTGTGTAGGTGCCAGCATCTGAAGATAACTTGCCCTCAGCAGCCAGCAGACAAGAATAAGGCAGAGACAAAGGAGATCTCTCTGCGGCTTTCATGATGGGTGCAGACAAGATGGATAGCCCAACTCTGGTGGGGAGAGTGGGCAGGGAAGGTTTGGAAGCAGGAGGAAGAGACGCTCAAGCTGCTTTGGGGTACACTTATTTTGTGTGCCAGAGAGGGATTTGCCAGCCCTCTCTTGGGAAATACTTTTTTGTGTATGCATGTGTATATAGGCTGTTACTAATCCCCTTCCTTGCTCCGTCTACTATTTTTCAGGTTAGTGGTATCTGGGATTTGTGGAGGGAGGAAGGATATAAAAGGGCAAAAACAGGAGACCCCGGTGCCTGGATTCAGAGCCTTCACATTCCAGAGATCCCAGAGGCCCCTCTCCCCGGACCCTTCAGCTCCAGAAAGCCATTGTGTTCCCTTCTGGCCTCTGACCCTGAGGCTCTGGGAAGCAGCAGGTTGTTGACACTTGGACAATCATTTCTTGCAAGGCAACTGCCTCCCTGGGGAGCTCTCTCCTCTGCCTTAGGGTGGTGACTGTTCCCCCAACCAGGGTTAAGGAAGAGAAAAATTAGCTCTTGGTCAGAGCAAGAGGCACGGAGAGAGAATCTTCAATTTCAGGCCTCCAGGCATCTTCACCCCTCTCTCACCTGCCCGTTCAGGAGTGCACCCCCAGGGGTAAGCGTCAGGAAAATGGATTCGGGAGAGGCATTTCTGACCAGAGTTCCTTCTGGCATCCTGCTGTGGGTCTCATGTTTGTCGATGGGACCCCATATTTCTTTATGGCGGATATCTGTATGTCTGCTACGGTCTCAGGAATGCAGCCACAGGAACAAAGACATTTCTAGTCCCGGTGCTGCTACTTATTAGGAGCAACACTTCAGGCAAGTCGCTTGTCCTTTTAGAAGCTTGATTTCCTCATTGGTAGAAGAGGGTAAAAAAAATAAAATCACTTGCCCAGTGAGCCTGCTGAGAAGAGCAGATGAAGGAGGAGGAAGGAGTACTTTGTACTCTGTGAAACACTGTAAATGTGCGGGTTGATCATTAACGGTTTCTCGTGTGTGTGTGTGTGTGTGTGTGTGTGTG